TTTTTGCGTCTCCATGTCTGGCGGGTGATCCGTTCCGTTGTCTACGCGCATGCAGCAACTAGAAGCTACCTACTACCCAATACTCTGTGATACATATGTAGAAAAATGGAGACTCAGAGTTTATGTTCTAATTTGTAATCCCCAACTCTGTAAATTCTCCGACCACGGTAAACTTAGAATGATTCCCACTATATATATATATATATTTTAATGAAATTTCACTGTTTTGAATCATAATAGTTATATTAGTATTTTTTTTTTACCAACGAGTCTAAATAAAAAGGGTTCGATTTTTTTAAATAAGGTCTTGAATTCGAGTATTGTGAATGGAAAAACAGAAGTTAGAAGAGTTTTTTTCTAATGTGATCCGATACGATTCAATTTTAGATTAATCGAGACTTAATACGTGATTATCAGATATCGAGAGATTAATACAAAAAAAAAATAATTTTTTTTTCACAGATTGAAACTTATTCTTTTAATCTCAAGCAATTATTATAGTAATATTCTTTTTATAATGTCAATAGATAGTTGATACTACTAGTATTAAATAAAAGGAGAAATAATTTTTAAGTTTGGATTCCAATGTATACTACAAAAGTATTTAAATATTTTTATTAAATAAAATTTATTAAAGATGTTTGATTTAATTGGACTATTAAGAAATAGTATCTACTAGTATCAAAATACTTATTTATATATATATATATTTTTTGAACAAACGAATGAAATTCGAGCTTTATATCTCAATTAGTATATGAATGCTCTTATAATAGTATGAATAGTTATTAGGTCACAAGAATTTAAAAAAATATATTTTTATTTAAAGGAGACTTTAACTATTAATTTATAATGATTGATATCCTTTTGTTTGGGTACTTTTGATGATTATATTAATCAATATAATGTTATTTAATATTATAGTAAAAAATAATTTTTTTCTCTACTCAAATTTCCCCTTATTATAAATGTTAAATTGAAAATCTTTAACACTAAATAACTCGGACGATTTCTTACACAACATGTAAAAAGCAAAAGAACTCAAAATGAAATCCATCGTGAATTAGGTTAGGCTAATAATAAAACTAACCTTAATTGAGTCAAGTATGGATCAACTTAAAGAACTAAAACAACCTATTTATTAACATCCGGTTTTTGACTTCCACAAATCCACTGTTCAAACCGTGAAAAGGTGAACCCCACACTCCCACAGAAACGACTATGCTTCGCGTCAATCTTCCCCATCGCGTAAATCGGAAAGCTCCTGGAGACCCCCTTAACTCCCAGACTCTCAAGACTCTAATTTAAAAAAAGGTTTATTTAAACATCACGTGTTAAAAATATATTAAATATATTTTTTATTATAAATTTATATTAAAAAATAAAAAATTAAATATTAATTTATTAATTATAAATTTATAATAA